ACATAAATGGCATAAATCTTGCTGAACAGCTTCCTTCTGCAATCGATCATAGTTGTTCTTTTCAACAGTTAAGCCAGAGCATTAGCTCTGGACATTCTGATTTGTTGAAATCAGGTCTCTCTTGTAAATGAGTCCTCGAGGCTCAATGGGATTTACCTGTCTAAATAAAGATTGAATGAATGAATGAATAATTTGTCTACAGAAATACCAGACAAATCAAGCCTCGGTTAAAAAGAAAAGCCCCTTTGTGCAGGTGTGTATATTTATTCGGTAACTTTATTAAGAACGTACTTGTGTCTCCAAAAACACAACGCTTTGTGTCTAGCAGGACTGCTAATATGCAGAAAAAAAACCGAGTCTCACCAAAAGCCTTCATGTGAAATTAGCACTCTTCTGTAATTTGTTTTATGACTGTTTTTCCTAAGTATTGCCTCCTCCTACAGCCCAGTAACCCAAATATTAGGTTAGCTGGAGATTCTAACTTGACTGAATGTGCATGTAAGGTTGTCTCTGCGTTGGTTTTGTGCTCAGACTCTACCCCATCTCTTGGGGCGGCTGTGGCTGAGCGGTTAGAGCAGTCGTCCTCCAATGCGAGTGTTGGGGGTTCGAATCCACCAGCAGTCGCATGCTGAAGTGTCCCTGGGCAAGACACTGAATCCCTCATAGCCTCTGATGTGTGTCCCATCAGTGTATGAATGTGATCTAAAGCACTGATCAGTCTCTTTAGAATGGTTTGTTCAATTAGCTTTGTAAAGATGTAGTGCTGTATGAATGGGTAAATGAGGACACAGATCGTAGTGTAAAGCGCTTTGAGTATCTTGAAATAAGATAGAAAGGCGCTGTATAAGTACAGTCCATTTGTCAGGTGACAGCGAGATTAGGCTGAATTTACTCCTCGTGTATCCAAAGTTAAATAAAAAAAAAAAGCTTTGCGTCACTGTAAGGAGCTCAAAACAAAGTAAATGCGAACATTTTTTAACTAAATCCTTTGAGTTCTTTGACCTTGCCGTCTTAATCAGACCCCTGCCACCGGCCTCCAACCCCCACTTACCAAAAGGGCAAATAGCCCCAGGAGGATCGTACAGCTCATCATGTTAGAATGGAGCTCATGATGTCAATGTTGCCTTAGTCATTGTGTCATTACAAACACTAGTACAAATCTTCCTCTTCCTCTTCCATTTCTAACAGAAAACACATAAAAACAGGCACTTTTCACAATAACAAGTGATCCAGCAGCCTATAGATGTGAATGCAAGTGTTCACTGTAAATATTCTCATACTGAAACCCCATTAGCAAAACCACTGGACATCAGCATCATGATATCTTGTCAGCCAGATCTAATTTTGTATTCAATCTTAATGGTTCCTGACAAGCATTTCACCCGCTGACAGGGGACCAGAGGGAATGTGCCACAGTGTGCAAGACCACTCAGCAAATTCACATTTAGCATTTCATTCCTCCTGCTTGGACAAAATGAATTATTCATCCTCGCTTCACTCGCATTGATTCATCCAGCCAAAACTCCCTAAAACACCAGAAATGTTAAATGATTTGTACGTGCCCCTCATCGCCGAGGGGGCAGCACAACTGTACCTCTCCAATTCTGACATTCTCACCAAATCCTTGACCCCTTTTTTCCACCCTCCATGAGTTATCTGAAATAATCTCAGGCCCTCTTTAGATTCTATTCATCAGAGCAGAAAGAAGCCGGCATTGACATTGATATAAAATACCATCTGTGCCTTGCAGGGGTAAAAAAAAAAAAAAAAGGGGGGACTGAAAGAAAATGAGACTGAAAATAAAAAAAGGAGTTTCAAATAAAACTGGCTCTGTTGTCTCGCTCTCTGCCTTCCTGCCCCCCTTTTACTCTCCTCAGTGCCATTTCAATTGAAAAGCACAGTGGTAATTAAATTCCAGCAGGGGTCAGGGGCAACTGTGCAGCATACTGACAGGGGGGCTGCCCTGACATAAAGATGACACAATTCAACAGGACAGAGGGGGCACCCGGCTGAAGAGTGGAGGGAGGGTGACAAATGCCGTTTATTCACATCCACTGCCAGAGTTGGACTACTCAATCACTGTGACATTTAAAAAATAGAAATTGAAATGGATATTCAAACTGAGCCGAGTCCCACAGTGACCTTCACCACAAACCCCAGATCCTCGAAGCAGACCCGTCTGCTTCTGTGGTATTTACAGCATATTTTCTGACGCTTAGGAGGATGAGCAATTATGAAGGAGAATTTGGGGAAAGCTGTTGTGACTTTGTGTGTTCGAGTGAAGGAGGCTGGTTTTGTTTCATCACGTTATAATCCAGAACCTCCAGAGTCCTCGCTCTCCTGCTGTCCCCCTGTCTCCACCCTCTATTAGCTGAACACAACCACTTCATATTTATATGAAAAAAAGGCCCAATCACAGAAATATTTACAACATTTTTTATATTTCAGCACTTTGTTGGCTACTTGAATTCAGTTTGAAGTGGTATTTATGATGGGTATAATTTGAGGAAAATTATTTTTTATTACAATTTTTTTGTGTTTATTGATCATTTTCTGAAAAATACTTTTAAGAACGTGATTACTGCAGATACCCATGCTCAAAATGCTAGATGTAAGTTCTGGATTATTTTCATTAGTTTGATTCTAAAAGACATGCTAGCTTTGAACATTTGCAGAAAATTTCTAATGGAATTCTGACAAAGAAATTATTGTATCTGAGCTCATTAATGTCAACAGATTTATTTAACAGCATTTGTTTCTATCTGCTGCCATCTAGTGGCCAAAGCTCTTTATGAACATGATCATGCACATTAATGAGTTTAGTTTGATCACAAAACCCAAGTTCCTGTTAAAGATTGTTTATTGAAAAAATAAAATAAAATCAATCAAAAAATCTGTTAACATTTAAGAAAGTCTGGTTCAGCTCCACTCAGAGTGAAATATGCTCAGATCGTACCAGTTCATAAAATTAGTTCAGTATGTGTATAGTGGGAGTGGTGTGCTGCTGACCTCAACTCGGGATGTTGTGGGTCGGTGGGCGTAATACTTTGAAGACCTCCTCAATCCCACCGGCACGTCTTCCAATGAGGAAGCGGAGCCTGGGGACTCTGGGTCGGGCCCTCCAATCTCTGGTGCTGAGGTCACCGAGGTGGTTAAAAAGCTCCTCGGTGGCAGGGCCCCAGGGGTGGATGAGATTCGCCCAGAGTTCCTTAAGGCTCTGGATGTTGTAGGGTTGTGTTGGCTTACGCGACTCTGCAATATTGCGTGGACATCGGGGGAAGTTCCCCTGGATTGGAAGACCGGGGTGGTGGTCCCCCTATTCAAAAAGGGGGACCGTAGAGTGTGTTCCAACTACAGGGGAATCACGCTCTTAAGCCTCCCTGGTAAGGTCTATTCGGGGGTTCTGGAGAGGAGGGTCCGTCGGATAGTCGAACCTCGGATTCAGGAGGAACAGTGCGGTTTTCGTCCTGGCCGTGGAACACTGGACCAGCTCTACACTCTCAGCAGGGTCCTGGAGGGTGCATGGGAGTTTGCCCAACCAGTCTACATGTGCTTTGTGGACTTGGAGAAGGCGTTCGACCGTGTCCCTCGGGGGGCCCTGTGAGGGGTACTCTGGGAATATGGGGTACCTGGCCCTTTGATATGGGCTGTTAGGTCCCTGTATGACCGGTGTCAGAGCCTGGTCCGCATCGCCGGCAGTAAGTCGGGCTTGTTCCCGGTGAGAGTTGGACTCCGCCAAGGTTGCCCTTTGTCACCGATTCTGTTCATAACTTTTATGGACAGAATTTCTAGGCGCAGCCAAGGTGTTGAGGGGATCTGTTTTGGTGGCCTTAGGATTGCTTCTCTGCTTTTTGCAGATGATGTGGTCCAATTGGCTTCATCAGATCGTGATCTACAGCTTTCGCTGGAGCGGTTCGCAGCCGAATGCGATGCAGCCGGGATGAAGATCAGTTCCTCCAAATCCGAGGCCATGGTCTTGAGCCGGAAAAGGGTAGAGTGCCCTCTCTGGGTCAGGGAGGAGGTCCTACCCCAAGTGGAGGAGTTCAAGTATCTTGGGGTCTTGTTCACGAATGAGGGAAAAATGGAGCGTGAGATCGATAGGCGGATAGGTGCAGCGTCTGCAGTGAAGCGGGCGCTGTACAGGTCTGTCGTGGTGAAGAGAGAGCTGAGTCAAAAGGCGAAGCTCTCAATTTACCGATCGATCTACGTTCCCACCCTCATCTATGGTCACGAGCTTTGGGTTGTGACCGAAAGAATGAGATCTCGGATACAAGCGGCCGAAATGAGTTTTCTCTGCAGGGTGTCTGGGCTCTCCCTTAGAGACAGGGTGAGAAGCTCGATCATCCGGGAGGGACTCAGAGTAGAGCCGCTGCTTCTCCACGTCGAGAGGAGCCAGTTGAGGTGGCTCGGGCATCTGTTTAGGATGCCTTCTGGACGCCTCCCTGGTGAGGTGTTCCGGACAAGTCCCACCAGAAGGAGGCCCAGAGGAAGACACAGGACACGCTGGAGGGACTATGTTTCTCGGCTGGCCTGGGAACGCCTCGGGATTCCCCCAGAAGAGCTGGCCCAAGTGGCTGGGGAGAGGGAAGTCTGGGCCTCCCTACTTAGGCTGCTACCCCCGCGACCCGACCCCGGATAAGCGGAAGAAAATGGATGGATGGATATGTGTCAAGTCTTGAACTTCCCACAACAGTATTTTATTTTATTTATTAACCTTTATTTAACCAGGCAAATCCCATTTAGATCACAGATCTCTTGTGCAAGGGAGGCCTGGGCTTGAAGGCAGCCTAACATGCATGTTTTTGGTCTGTGGGAGGAAACCGGAGTACCTGGAGAAAACACACGCAAGCACAAGAAGCAAACTCCACAAAGAAAGACCCTAAGTCCAACCGGGGATTGAACCCAGGACTTTCTTGCTGTGAGGCAACGATGCTAACCACTGAGCCGTCGTGCTACCAAGTCATAAGGAGTTTGTTTTCTCATTCAGCCACACGTGTGCTTTAGTAACTGTTTAAAACCTCCAGGACTTCCTCTTTGACGGAGACGAGTGAATGCTGCTGCACGCCTGGACCACCGATGCTTGTTTCCCAGCAGTCGAAGCTGCAGTCTCTCAGGTCCTGCACCGTGCTCTGGACTATCAGGGAGTCGGTTTCTACAACATAAACAAGTCAGAGTAAATTGATGTCACAAACATTCAAAATGAGGATAAAAAATACTTTGTAAGCACGGCGGACATGTGTCTATCCCCTTCAGTCCCCCTAAAAATGCCTAAAACGCCTGGAAAACACATACCCAACTTCAATTAGACTCTGTTCTTGAACCCTTTGGTGTACAAGTAGAAGCTTGATTTATCCAGAAAGGGAAATAATTATTGTATGATAAGTATAACTAATATGAAGTTTGCAGTCAGTGGAGACTTTGGGCTCTAGAGACAATAGGTGAATCTATTGATCAGAAGAGATGCCAGTCAAAAGGTGAGGACTCACAGCCATTTTAACACTGTGGTAATTAAATTTAAAACAAGGAATTTACAAGGGTCTGTGTTCAAATCTAAGTCAACAGGGTGTTCACCAGATAAGGTGCACCAGCTGATTCTTTTAAGACAGAATTTCCAGTTTCTCTCAGGCGTGGATTCAAAAAAAGTCACTGTTTCAGAGAAAATGAAGACTATTGTCATGTACACAAACAGACGAACCGCAGCAGAAAAGCAGCGTTGTGTTAACAGGGACTTTATTAAAAAAATGGAAGGAAAGATCCAGATACTTCAACCAATTAGTCAATAGAAACACACAAAACACTGTTAATTCATTGGACAGAGACCAATGCCTGGTACATCTCTGATGCTAAGAAATTTAAAACATCTGGAAAAGACCAGAAACGGCTCAGTGAACAAGACTCAGAACATCAACGTGGACATTTAAAGCACATCCAGTTCAAATGATCCAATTTTTAATTCAGATGCAGCTTCCAGGGCTAAAAATGTAATATCTTGGTGCTTTTTTTAATTCAGAAAGGTTTACTCTAACGACTCTCGGAGCATTAGGACAGACGGATAACACTGTTTAAAAATAACTGCATTTCACAGAGGAAATGGGAAGAAAGCAAACAAGGACATTTATTTAGGGATTTATAACTTATTAAAAATGCAGTGTGCTATAGGCTGCAGGCATCAACAAACACTGAACTCGCAGGTTAGTTTGCTTTGCCAAAGAGAAGTTTAAATACAATTTCCTTTTCTGCAGTACCCTTGCACAGTCAGACAATTATTCTTTGAAAAAATAACTAATTTTCCACTTCTCAAACTGTGTCAGAGACAAAAGGAAAGGGGAGGAATATATGAAAACAGTTTTGTCACTAGGGATCTTTGGTCCATTAAAAATACCTCAAAGTAAATTCAGTAAACATTTGGGCACACTCAAGTCATGAAGTTATTAGAACCAGTAATTGTTAAAAAATAAAGAAACAGAGATGAACCATTTTCATCATTTTGCCAAGATTGCTGTCAGAATTTAGCCTGATGGAATTATAAAAGTAAAATGTAAAGTATTGTCTGTCTGGTATGTGTGAGCAAAACACGGAAAAACTAAAACAAACGAGAAGGGCTTTGTCATTGTTAGAACAGGAATGAATCATTAAAGGCTTTTTTGGCGCAAACAAGAGCAGAAAGAATGTTTCACTGAGGAGAAAGAGGAGGAATTTAATCAAATACCAACCAAATCTGAAAACGGTTATCACAATTTATGTGTAATGACAAAAGTTGAAAAAAAAAACACCAACGTGTACAACTACAAACATACTTGAAAATCCTCTAAGTACCATTTGAAAAGATACAAGGCAAAATGTTTTGCTGTGGCACTCACAGCTACTCTAAGCAAAAACCTGAAGTCCTTTAAAAACAAAAACAAACAAAAAATGTTGGAAAATCAAAATCACAAAAATGAGAAGATTCTTTGCTGCAACAAAAACCATATACACGCTGAGATATTTGCAACAGAGACTGTCAAGGCCTTTGAAATTGTTACCATTTCAAAACTGGAAACAATGGGGAATTAATGGGAACAAGCCTGTATCAATTTTTAACAAATGTGTCTTTTCTAACTTCATGGCCTTCAAAATTTAGATAAGCTTTGTCTCTTGTCACAAAAATGAAATGAAGACTGCACGTGCCCAAACATTTGCTCAGTAAGAAACTACACGGTGTAGTTCAGCAGATGACATGAAGTATTTGAATGACAAAGTCAAACAATATATGGAACTAAGGTTATACACTGTTATAACATGTTGAGAAGTGTTGTTGTTCATCACCTGGTCTCAGGAGGGTGATGCCACAGCCTCCTCCACCTGCGCCTGTTAGCTTGCTGTGGAGTCCTTTGGCCAGTGTGACTCGACACAATGTGTCTAAGGCAGGGTTTCCCACACCCATCACATTCAGATGATGCTGGTTGATGTCAATAAGCTCCTAGAAACAACACATTTAGGCTGGAATTAAAATGTCATGTTTAACTGGAAGGGCTTTCTCAGTCCACGTAAATGTTTATTTTTCAGCTGCAGCTCCAATTACATTTGGAGTTCCACATGGCTCTGTTTTTGGACCTGTTCTGTTTTTTTTTTATTATTATATAGAGTATGTTGCTTTTGGAGTGCATTTGTGACAATCATGTTAACCCTTTACACAAGGAGTGTCCAAACTTTTTTTTAAACAAAGATCTACTTTTGAAGTTGCCAGTTTGCTGAGATCTATTTGTCTGGTCTTAGTATAAAACACATTGTTGCATTCCAGGTAAACCATGGGTCATAATATTACGAGCTTCTCCCCCCTCCTCACTTCCACAAAGGCCAACGCATCAAACAGAATATAGCATGTTACCAGTTGTATAAACTTCAGTCAAGAGTTGTGACAAACAAAACGGTCTACCTAAAACATTGTTGAGCACCGATAACACACGAGCTACTTAAAAACTGTCGCTCACGCACGCCTGCACAGGTAGCCTCTGCTGCTAGGCAACGAAAAAAGAGCCACCCCAGTTCAACCGGTCATTGATAGAAAAACTTTCATTTTCCTTTCTTTGCTGTTGTTGTTAAGAATGGTGTAAGTGCATCTAGTACAGGTTCAGAGAATACAGACATAATAAAATGCTAAACATTAAACAAGGGTTAAAAAAGGTTTAACTCTCCAAATCTCATTATTAACTAGAGATAGACGTAATGGACAGCCCTGCTTTACATCGCTTTGCTGATGACATTCTGATCTTTTTGCCCATGAAAATCACAAGAGTACCACATACACACTATACATCTGTTGACAAACTATTATACAGCAATCTATAGGAATGGCGCTGATGAGCAAAGACCTTGAAGCTGAGATGATGAAAAGTGCATGTGACACTCCATCTAGTGACGATGCATATGTGTACAAAGTTCTGTTAAATTATCTTGAGCAGGTTAGAAGTTTTGGGTGGAACAAGAGAAAGTTTATGGACGGACGTAGACGATACAATAATGTGTCCGCCTTTCAACGGGCGTATAAAAAGTAATGAAGCCTCTGCCTCAAATAAATCAGTTGACATTTAACAAAGTTTGGCTCCATTTCTTTATCAAACATTAAAAAAAAAAACTATTTATCTTTCGTTTGCATATTTATGCTTTTACTTAATATTTAGCTAGTTTTACGTACCATATTGCTAATTTTAGCTTTTTGCTTGTTCTAACCACTTTTAAAAATTAGCTACTCCCTTGTCATCTTTACCTTTAAGCTACTGCTCTATTCGTTTAGTTCTTATGCTAGTGCTTTGCTGCTTTTCCATTAATCCACTCCATTAATTAAAAAACCCAGACTCTACCCTGCAGCTTGTTCTAACTTCAGGCCAATCTCAAAACTTCCATTTCTTTCTAAAATCTTGGAGAAAATAGTTTTTAGTCAACTAACCAAGTTTTTGAATGTAAATGGAATTTTTGAGATTTTTCAGTCAGGATTTAAACAACTGCACAGCACCGAGACAGCTTTAGTAAGGGTCTGTAATGACATTCTGCTAGTGAATGACTCTGGTCAGTCTGTGATCCTGGTACTCCTCGACCTTACCGCTGCATTTGACACTGTTGATCACAGCATCCTTATGTCACGGCTAGAACACTGGGTTGGGATTACAGGGGTGGCGCTAGAATGGTTCCGTTCTTATCTGGGTGACAGGAGTTTTTGTGTTAACTTTGGCAATCATTTATCTGCTTCTGTCCCTCTTTCCTGTGGGGTCCCACAAGGCTCCATTCTTGGACCCCTTCTGTTCTCATTGTATCTGCTCCTCTTGGGGTCAATCCTGAGGAAACATGGTATTTCGTTTCACTGTTACGCCAATGACTCTCAGATCTATCTACCTTTAAAACCAAACAGTTCTTGCTCCATCCTCCCTTTGCTAAAATGTCTTGATGACATCAAGACTTGGATGGCTGCAAACTTCTTGAGCTTTAATGATCAGAAGACTGAGGTCATTGTGTTTAACCCAAGCTCTACCACTGTCACTGATCCTGTAAACCTGCACTCCCTTCAGCCTCATCTAAAGCAGTCAGTTACCAATCTCGGGGTAGTGTTAGACTCAGACTTTAAGTTTAATAAACAGATCAACTCTGTTCTACAAAAGAGCTTCTTTCAGCTAAGGCAGATAGCAAAGCTTAAGTCCGTTCTGTCCAGATTCGACCTTGAAAAACTAGTCCATGCATTTATTACTTCCCGGCTGGACTACTGTAACTCACTTTATGTTGGGGTTAGTCAGGCTTCACTCTCACGTCTCTAGCTCGTACAAAATGCTGCAGCTCGGCTTTTAACAGGAACTCACAGGTTTGAGCACATTACTCCGGTTCTGTCCTCTCTTCACTGGCTTCCTGTGCATGTCAGAGTTGATTTTAAAATTCTCCTGCTGACATTCAAGTGCATTAACGGCCTTGCACCATCATACCTCTCCGACCTTCTTCATCCTTATACTCCTTCTCGGGCTTTGAGATCATCAGACCAGCTGCTTTTGGCCGTACCAAAAACCAGGCTGAAGCTCAGAGGAGATCGAGCGTTCTCAGTCGTGGGCCCTAAACTCTGGAACAATCTGCCCATCAACATTCGACAGGCCACCTCAGTCTCTGCCTTTAAATCTCTCCTAAAAACACATTTATACTCATTGACATTTAACACAGGGTGATCAGCTTTAGATCTGGTTTTTCATTGATGCTGATTCTGTTTATGCTTTTGTTATTATTCCTATTTAACACAATGGTCATCCAATCTGATTTAGTATTTCATTGTTTCTAATTGTTTTTGGTTTTATATTTTTATTCCATGTGCTGTAAATATATCTTGCTACTTTTTATCTGATGATGTGATATTTTTGTTAAGCACTTTGGTAACAGTTTCTGTTTTAAATGTGCTCTATAAATAAATCTGACTTGACTTGACTTTTAGTGTATGTTCTTTTTGTTTTAACTTTCACAAGAGTTTCAGCTTCTTCAGAAAATTTCAGCAAAGTCATTCAGGACTCAGCATTCAACTCACATTTTTAGAGGAAATGCAATTTCTCTAGTTTCTCTAAGAAATGTGCACAATGTACTGATAATTTGTACCTCTAGAATATTGTAGTGCTCCCCTGTGATAGGTTCACAAGTCATGTCTGTGAGGACTTTTTCACAAGTGCAGGAAATGGCATCAACTGAGTCAAGCACAGGGATCATGATAGATGGAAACTGCAGGAGGGGAAAAACAAAAACAAAGCATAAATTTCACAATTTCCAGCCATATTTTTTTCACAGAATTTGTAAATAAAAATAAAAATGTGTGTTTAATTAATAAATCTCCAACATTTATTGATGGACCGATGACAACACATCAACACGTTTGACTTTGATCGTGCTTAACGTTGCCACATCTCTGTCTGAGATGAGGTGGAAATCTGCACACCTGCTGATGTCACCAAGGCAACAGCACACAAGGGGTCCCTGGCTAAGAGTTTAATTTTAATATTTTATGAAGGCACTCAACCCCATGCTCTGGAGTATCAGCCACGCAAAAGCACCGCCTATTATATTAATTATAGTGTCGGCAAGAAACACACGGGGGAGGGAAAAACCATTTAGTACCTTGTTAATTCTGTCTTTCACCCTGGCAACAAGTACTTTGGTGCTTCGTGGTACTTTGGTGTTAGTGAGGAGGATTCTTAATAATGGCACCCTGAAGTAAGAAAGACCATAGTTCAGACAGTCCACATTTTCACACAGTATTTGGTTCCTGGGAGCCAAAACACAAGTTTTTGTTTAAAAAAAAAAAGTATTTAACCAAAAAGTGTTGATCAGTGTCAGAACCTGCTCAGTGGTATTATCTTCCCAGCTAAGAATCTCAGCATGCCACCTGCATAAAAATAAATAAATAAATTATTAGATGCATAATCATACATTGATAATCAGCAGTGGTATTCCTGAAATAGAAAACATCACAGGTCCTACGGCAGGTTCCATGCCTCACCCCACGTTCCCACAGCATTGTCGACTCCTGAAGGATTTCCATGGATCATCAGCTCCCCTTGAAAAGCCCAACTGTTGATGAGCTCCAGGTCCTCCTGGCACCACCTAGAGTTAAAAAAAAAAATCATTTTAAAACCCAAATAAACATTCACAAACACTAGTAATAAGATGTGCACTTGAATGATTAGCAACTATAAAGCCTGAATAATCTACAACAGGGTTTATAAGGAAAAAAACACTAAAAAATGATGGTGAATATTCATTAAAACATTACTTTGTGTACATGACTGCCTTTAAAATGCTTCGTAGCGAGTCATAATGTCAAAACAATTAATGGTAAAACTAGTGGACACATTAAATATAAATAAATTAGTAAAAAGTGTTGTAATTATAGAATTATTTTCTCATTTTGCATCACATTTTTCATCCACACAGAAACATTTGTGACGATGTGGCGATACATGAATACACAGATAATCTGCACATCTTTAGTGGTGAACACAATTTTGGAAGGAGCATGTGGTATATTTTTGACTAAACATATTTGCTTGCAGTTCAGAAATATAATGTGAGCCATTAATGAAATAACAAACGTGGACTTGTGTAAAAGTTTGATTTATCAATTTCAGAACTGTACAAACTTGTTTTCTGAATTCCCAAATACTTGCACAGTTGTTCAAAAAACAAACTAGAGCTGCACAATATATTTTTTTAAAAATATAATAATATATTGTATATTTTTTAATGTCTAGATTGCAAAGATTTTAAAAGTAAATATCACATACAAACCGCATGCAAAAATATAAATTTATCAATCTGATAACACTCACTCCACTAAATACCCACAACCAGCACATGGTGAGAGCTGTGAACACTGTAATGACAGAATATGTGGGTTTCAACAGATATAATCACAATATTCTATAATAATACTGCAATTTCGTGTTTTCCTAATGTTATGCAACTTTACTGCAAATAAATCAAAATGACAAACGTTCCTGTTTAAACATCTTTTTTTTTAACTGTTGCTGACATGAAAATAAAAATCCATTAAAAAAAAATTATCCCATGACTTAAGTTTCTTTTTAATTATTATTTATTCTCACTATTTATTATCAGCCCAAACACATTTATGTAAAAACACAACACACTGTGTAACGTGTGTAAAGAAACACGTGTCGTATAATATGCTTTGAGGTTTAACGGTTTTAAAAAATGAGTTCAAATGTTCCATTTATGTGGGGAGCTCCTTTTTATGTAGACCTTTATATGATCTTCATACCTGGCGGTGTGCTCCCACTCTTTCAGAGGAGAAGTAATGGTTCCACTTGCACAGAGCAGAGCGGCAGCCAGACACACCGAGTAGGCAGCACTGGACCCGAGTCCTGCCCCAGGTGGCAACTCTGACCACACAGTCACAGTCAAGCTGGGCAGCTCACTGAAAATATCATTACAAAGACAATTTATTGGACTTAAATACTGAACATGGGATCAATTACATATGTCCAAATATGGCAGTATAATTGTATTTATTGTCAATTCAATTTCCAGGACCACAAAACAAAACCTATGGACGTTACTCTTATTACTCTTATGCAACAGAAACTTTTCTGATTCATCCATCAGTATCTATCTGTCACAGAGGCTGTTTTCGTGCAGAGGGAAGGATACTCTAAACTAATTGTTCACTTCTCTCTAGGGAAAAACACATCCAGGCTTGTTAAAGGGTGCACAGTGACCCAGTGCCTGACTCTCATTAGTGGCCATCCTGTCAGAAATCTTTCACCTCTGCGAGACACGCCAGCGCTGCGCCAGCGTCGATGAAACCCTCCAACAACCTGCAGCTCTAATGTTCCCGAGCACGCTCGCTATTCACATCTGCTGGAGCCGCAAACATCCTCCTACGTCTGTTTTCACCTCAACAAAGATGCTCATTTACTTCTCTGAAAATGTTTTTTTATGTAAATGAGAACTTTAATCAAATTAAAAACAGAGTAAAAGTTCTTTAGAAGAAATTAAATGTGGTTCAAATCTACAAAAACTTGAAATCACTCATTTATTTTGTGAATGTTGATGTTGAATAAGCAGTCACTACTGTTGTTGTTTTGTTTTTTTTCTTTTCCTGTTTGTGATTACCGGTACTTTTATATGCTTTTCAGCATCTAGCTACTTCAGCAAACTTTCAGCTCTTTTAACCATTCAGCTACCAAAACGTTTAGCTCACTCAGGAGATCGGTGCTATGAATTTTGGTATTTGCAACTACTGGTATTAGACTTGTTAAAATATTTCACTTTGTGTTGTTTTATTTGAGATTGATTTATTTTATTATTTTAGACTATTTCTAATTTGTATGTTTTTGTTTAGCTAATTTTAGGTTTTGTGTATTGTTTTGCTAATTTTGTCTTTTAGCTGTGGTTTATCTAATTTTAACAGTTAGCTATATTAAAAAAAATTAAGCTTTTATCTACAGCTTTTTTAGTTTTAAAAGGTTTCAAGGTTTTACATTTTTTATGTTAATCAATGATTTTGACTTCTGTTTAGTAAATTGTAGCTTTTTGCTACCATTATGCTAACTTTAGCTTCTAGCTACTACCGTATTATGTTTAGGGTTAAGCTACTGTTTTGCTAATTTTGGCTTTTAAATAATGTTTTGCTGTTTTTATGTTTAACTACGGGTTCACTGGCTTTAACCTTTAGCTACCATTTAGCCACTGTTTTGCTAAATTTAGTTTTTAGTGACCGGTTGGCTAATTTTAGCTTCTGTTTCACCTTTGAGTTTCAGAATTTGACTGTCAGCGTTTTCAATAAATTCCAGCAGAGATTCAGCAGTCAGCATTCACACTGCAATTTCAGAGAAAATGCTATTTTTTCGAGTTTTATGCTTCAAGGTGCCAGACTTTCCTGTCATTTTTTAATCATCTTATCTTCATGTTTTTTAAAGATGCACTGCAACAGTAGAACAGCTGCAGTGCATTGTTCCACTTTACAGTTTTAAATTAGGTTAAAGGCTCAAAAAATGTTTTTTTCCTCCAATGAACACACATTTGCAGATGCATCATTTTTGTTAAAATTTTATTTTCTCAAGCTCTAGATTGAAAATAAAACAAATCTACAAGTGTAATAATGCAGTCAATAGAAAGAAACAGTCTGTGTAGTCATACTGAACATTCTGTAACATCATCTATATTAAGTTTATCCTCTTTTACTTATAAACATCACTTTGAAACATATCTGCATGACTTCTGTCATTTTTGGCCAATCGGAACAAACGCAGCTTTTTCAAAACTGATGGTTTGAAATGGGTCGTTTCAGATAAAGTTATATTTGAACATTTTTCTTCCCTATTTCTACGGCCGTATCGTTTCCTCCCCACTCCCGTTGTCGTCTAAATACACACACACAAAAAAAAAACAGACTTGAAGTCGCGTGAACTCTTCAGTACAAAATATTTCCTGACAAAACTAACATTTTTCAAATTAATTCACACTCAGATGCTAATGGCAGAAGGCATGAACACTTGTATGCAGCTCAAGTGTCAGTTTATGAGTCTTTTCTCTATTTTTACCTGTTTGGAGAATAACTGAAAGTAGAAATCAGCTAAACTAAACTGTGTGTGCTGTCTTCTTGCAGACGATTGTGTGAATTAGACTTCAGTTACCAATATACATATATATTTAACAAAATAGTCTGCTTTTAGTAAAATGTGAAACTTATGGGACACGTAGAAATCTTACCCTGATCCAAAGAGCGACAGGTAGATGTAAAGGAAGGCTAAGATGGCCGTGTTGCTGCTGTTCAAACTTCCGTCGGTTGCACCCAGAAAATCACGGAGTCGCTTCACAAATTCAGCATCCAGCCGTTGTCCCTCTTCCTTTTTTTCTAGTAATGTAGAAAAAAAAAAAAAGCAGCAGTTTCAACTATGAGAACATAAAACAGATATATAAATATGAAACGTAATTTTTACATCACACGTCTCATATATATATAGATATATATTCGTATATATGTATAT